AAGTGGTTGTCCTCACAGTGCAGTGTCCTCCAAACTACAACTTTCCTTAAGTGCATAATTTGTAAAAATATACAAATGTCCACTAAATATATAGTATAGCAACAAAAAATACACACATTGCCAAATACTGGCCATCATGATCAATGGGGGGAAGCCATTTGTTAAAATACATTTGCATTCCATTATGAACAAATAAAGAAAAGGACAAAAATATTTCCTGGCCAACTATCCCTTACTATAATGAGTTACATCATTTCAGTTATTCAATGGTCTACGTACCATTAATGATAACAAGAAGTTACTGACATAATAAGGGCTTAAAAATATATTGACTGCTAAGGACCACAGAGATGAATTAAATATGATTTTTCTCACTACAGAGTGAAAGAATCCTTGGTAAGAGTTACTAGGGATTATCTATTCCGAGTCTCACCATACAGAGAAGGAAAAGTGCCACAACCACAGAGGTCAATGGAGTAAATAAGCAGGAAAGTCAGGACTTGAAACTAGGTCTTCTGATTCCCAGGTTGGTATTTACTGAAAACCAAAAGAGAACATCTCTGAGGGTAGAAATTAAAATGTTATTTTCAACATTTTAATTTTCAACTAGACTCAGAATGTATATTTGTATGGCTACCATCCTAGGCAGGTTTTATAAGGTATGACTCCAAATCACATTAAATTTGTAACTGCTGACAAATAATCATAGAAAAAAGATAACATGGCACAGAAGCCTTTCATTTCTTCTTCTATTAGTGTACATGATTCACCATTTTTTCTGTGAGCACACAAACATTTTGTAAGTTATCAGACAAGATTATACATAAAAGGCAGAAAAGGCCCTGGGAATTGGACTTCACTAGCTTTTCTTCCATAAATACAAAAAAACTGACGTACATGAATAAATAACCTACCCGCAAACATTCACAGCTTAATCTTACAGTTTATTCTAAAAACAGAAAACTTTGGAACCAACCCTCTTCAAGATAATTATCCCAACATCAATAAAGACTTTTAAAAGGTAAATTTTTTGAAAATATATATTTTTTTCAACTGAAAATCTTAACCACCTTTGGCGTGTCAAAGCTAAATGTATACATAAACAAAGATACAACTCAGGAACTATGAAGATCCATTAGGTACCTCTTCCCCCAGAAGAATTTTTTTAACTTTATAGCCACATTTTCAAAAACCGAAGAATTAACTAGTTATCAAGATACCTGATATCAAGACTTAAGAGACACATTAGCATTAATACATAGAATATATTTAAATAGCTGCAAATCTATACCTATATCACATAGGTTATTACATTTTAGTTTAATATATTATCTAACTTATATAACTACCCTTTTAGTACCTAGTGAGGAAAGGGGGAAAATGTCTAAAATTAAGAAACAGATTTATGAAAATTCTTAGAGGATAGTAATGGCATTAGTATTGCTTATGAATTTCCCCAAATCCCACCTTAAATACACAGAGCAAGTAGGAAAGTCAAACCAAAACCCAGTTGCAACAGCTACAATAAAAGCAGGTGACAGAGTAGCTCTGTGAACCCCAAAATATGAATGGGTAGGCAGAAGCCACTGACAACTAGAAGACCACATACTAGCATCAGTGCAGAAGGAAGCAGAGGAGTATCTCAACACCCTGAGCATTCCAAAATAACCAGTAAGTACTCACACAAAAAGCAATGCTCAATGGCAGCTGAAACTGGGAGGAGTCTGCACACTCCAATAGTGGGTGAGTACAAGAGATCTATTGTACAGTCTGGGAGGAACATGAGCAACTATGAACTCCTAAAATTAACAAGCCAAACCTCTCTTCCAGGTAACTTCATGCTAAGAAAAAAACTGTGAGGAAAATCCAAATTGCACACGCCAGAAACATTAAAGTAAATGAAGTCCAGATGAGAGTGGGAGACGGTTCAACGAATGTTGCTAGACAATTGGATATCCACATACTAAAGAATAAAGCTGGACCCCTACACTTCACACCATAAATTAAAAATGGATCACAGACCTAAATGTAAGAGCTAAAACTATAAAGCTCTTAGAAGAAAACACAGGAGGCCAGGTGCAGTGGTTCACACCTGTAATCCCAGTGCTTTGGGAGGCTGAGGCAGCAGGATAGCTTGAGGCCAGGAGTTCAAGACCAGCCTGGGTAACATAGCCAGAGCCTGTCGCTGCAAAAAAATAAACTAGCTGGGAGTGCTGGCACGCGCTTGCAGTCTTAGCTACTCAGGAGGCTGAGGCAGGAGGATCACTTGAGCTCCGGAGTTCAAGGTTCCAGCCGGAGTTCAAGGTTCCAGCCTTCCAGAGCAAGATCCTGTCTCTAAAAAAATAATTTTTCAAAAAGAAGAAAACACAAGAGTAAATCTTTATGACCCTGGGTTAGGTACTGGTTTCTTATATATAACACCTAAAGCATGACCCATAAGATGAAAAACTGATAAATTACACTTCATCAAAGTAAAAAACTTTTGTGCTTCAAAGGACACCATAAAGAAAGTGAAAGGACAACCCACTGAATGGGAGAAACTGTTTGCAAATCATGTGTCTGAGATGGGACTCGTATTCAGAACATACAAAGAAATGTCATAACTCGATAAGAAATACTTTAACGAGGTTAATGTATAAGTTGAGGGAAATGGGAGGATCTGAAGAGCCACACTAAGCTGCAGTTTTATTTTTGTAAAAGAATGTTTCCTCTAGTGGTAGCAGCATTTGACCTATCTATAAACTTGGGGGCCAGGGAACAATGAAAATACGAGGTTGACTGGACTTAGGTTATCTTTAAAGGTCTTATTGCTGTAATTTTAACATTCTAAAAGTATGTTCCTACTTTAATTTGTCCTGATCTCTGCATTCACTTTGTCTAACTATTCTTCATTTTCTTCCCTTCACTTGGTGAGGTCTCTACCCTGTTTACCTCCACTTCACGACTGGGAATGAATAAAATGTCCTTTCTCAAAGCAGTTTAATCAGTCACTTATATGAAGTCTTAAAAACATACAATGAATTCTTTTCCTCAGAGAGGGATGGGCTGAAGAAACAAAAAATTTATAAGAAGAAAATGCAAAATGGAATGTGTTCAGCCTTTCTTGACTTTAGTGGCATGACTGTAGCCAAGTATTTATGGAGTGGCTGTTTGTGCCAGGCAACACAGTTTTTATTAATACTTTCCTTACCATCTTCAAACACCTGCTCCTACAAAATGCAATTAAAATCAATGTGACTGTATTTCCATTCGTTAAGGAAACTATCTTTTTCCTCTACCCATGATCCTGTCAGCCCTCCTTATGACAGGCACATTAACTTTCTAGAAAATCGTATATGCTTGTCTCCAGGATGAAAGAATTGACTTGTGTGACAGTTTATTATCCACTGATCGACATTTCTTTATTGGACAGGTTTAATGTGCCTACGGTGCCTGTGAACACGTGGCCTCTGTCTCCTGTTTGCCTCACATCCCTGCAGGAGAACAGACTCCCAGAGTCAATGCAGAGCCTTCTTTCCCAAAGTCTAGACATGATGGTGAAATCAGAAAATCCATTTAGGCCTTCGATCCAAGAGGTGTTCTCCAATTCAGCTTGACCAGTAATGATGCTAATATTTTAAATCTTACCTTATACCTGTGTCCATTTCTCAATTGGTTCAGAATTTATAGAGAAGTATGTAACGATTACCCCCAAGCCACAATACTAACCAGAAAATATGAAAGTCTAGATTAAGTTGAATAAGAGATTAAACAAAACAGAACCACCCCCCCCAACTCCACGCACCCTTTACTAAGTCAACAACATGACAGCTAGAGATGCCAGGAATTCCAGTTCTTCCCAGTTCTGAGACTGGGTTTTCCCGTCATCTTTCATGGAGGGTATGCAGTTTGGTGGCTCAGAGTCACAGAAATAATGTAATACCTATAGGCAAACTTTTTAAAATTATGGCTAGAAATTATGGTCTTCTTAACCTAATAAGGAGTGTAACATAAAATCTTTAAGTAAAAATTTTAAATTATATAAACCATTCACACATTCTACTTTTCTATTTGACTTTGTTTCAGATTCTACTATCTAAAATTAATTTCTTAAATTATACTCGGTCCACTAAATCATTGCTAAAACATTTATAGTAATGAATTTGCCAAAATACCTATTCTATTAATAGTACCTTTGTAACCATATTAACCAAATCTTTTTTTGAACAAATCAGATCTTGAACTTCCTCTTTCCCCGTAATTTTCTTTAGTGCTTTATCTCTCTTATGTATCTTTATTATTTACTGAGTTCTGAAGCTATCAGGGAACCTACATGTTCTGGACAAGGGAAATATTTTTCCTCATTGTCTACGTTTGTTCCATCTCATTTCCTCTGAGGACTCTATTCTTATTACTACGGGTCTATCCGATCTCCCTGTTTTCTCTCAATTCTACTTCCTTCTAGCTGCCCATATATCCAATGTCTTGGAACCAATACTGGACAGCTTTGGTGTCCAACCTTCATATATTTCTTCAACACTCAGTTCTTACAAACATTCCAACATATCAGTTAACCACAAACTGTGATTTAACTTCAATCACCTTTTAATGTGAAGGTGATTTATCCATTTTATCCTATGGATAAGGAAAACCAGAAATCGAAGTCCAAGGAAAAAACATTAACATACAGAATGTTGGACATTTGGTTCATTCTGAAGCACTTATTAGTTCAGCTGGCATTAAGTTAAAACAATAACCTTTGGTTTTAATTGGCAAGAAAAATGATAAATTCTCTATGTATCATTTACTCCTTTCAGAATAGCAACCCAATACATACCTCTGTAGAAAATATGTTTCTTCTGGATTTATCCAAATAACAGAGAATAAATCCACATTATTTCATCATTTAAAAGAAAAACTAAAACCTGCCTTACAGACATCACTAATTCAGTATGCCAAAAAGCGTAAGATTAACTAGACGATTTGCTGAAATTTTAAACTTAGTAAGAGGCTGTAGTTACCTCTTTTTGTAGATGAAGTTTGAAGCAACTGTTTGGCTTTGAGGGAAGTACGAGGCAAATTTTTCAGCCTTTGCGAAGCTGTTGAAACATAAGGAACTGTAATATTTGCCTGGAAGTACAGATAAAGGCTATAGCTTCTGTAAACTTGAATATTTTAATACAAACTTAAAATTTATGAAGGAACAGAAACCGTAAGGTACAAATATGTTAGAATCCTAGAAGCAAAGGAATTTTAAAGTGATGCTCAGTGCATTAAATTGGAAAGAAAAGGGGATGGAACAAACTTTTAAGAATAGTTTCTTATAGGTGAGAAAATCCCCAGTATGTCAATGGGTCAAAATATCAGAGAAAACAAACCACCAGCAAACATGCTACAGGATGCAAAGAATACAAAGATAAAAGTGAGGAACACAAGCACACGGTATAGAATAAAATAAATGCAGCGCTTGTTCAATGCAAAAAAGCAGATTTTGGCAAAGCAGTTATTGTTAGATGAACTGCCCTAACGTGAAACAGTAATCCCCGTACTCAAAAAGGAGAAGAAAACTCAGAACCAGGCAGGTCCTCAGGAAGTCACGAACTGGTGGTTTTAAAATGCTCAACATCATCTTTCTGTAGAATACAATTAATTTTTACTTCAGACTTTGGGCAGCACCCTATCTGGGCTGTGCACACATGCATGTAGGTAGGAGCGTGTGTGTGTTGGTGTAGGCTGAGGGGTTTGGAGTCGTCCGAGCATCTGCCTTTTAAAGTGCTCGTGAGGCATGCTGAGCTTCCTTCCAAACTGATCTATTAACTGCACCGAAACTCTCAATACAGGGCATGTAAGAAGCAGTCCCCAGCTACCCAGAGTTAAAGTGGTTCCAATCACGCCAACACACAGTTACTGCGGCTCCAAGGGACTGATAAGTCCCACACCTACCAGTACACTCACCTATTTAAGTGGCTCTAAAATGTCACTTGATTTGAAAATCAAACTTCATATGCCTCTAGGATTTATGTGCACATACACACAAAGAGATCCCACCCCTATACATTTAGCCAGAGCATAAAAATCACTGGGGTGACAAAGGGATACTTGATATATCATCAGAGAGCATTAAGAATTTCTCTCCTCTCACTGCTTAACTTTATCAAACATGGAAAACAATTGTTACCTCATAAATAATAAACTTTAAAAAAAGTAACAAATGTATTTGATTCCAAATTTTATAGCACTCCAAACATTACTATAACTAAATAACATCTGATGCCAACTGAACTCAAATGCTGCCAAGGCAAACTAGCGAAAAAATTACCCATGCCTAAAAAAATCAATTTTATAATGGGTTACCTTATTTCTATCCCCCCAAAATTAAGGCTACTATCATTATTAATATTCGTCATCTACATATTTATTCATACATATTTTCAACCATTTATATTTTTATTCATTCCTGTTTTCTTTCATTCATTGAAATAGTTTAGTATCTGCTTTATTCCAGGTACTATCTGAGGTACAATGACTTCAGCAGCCAACTAGACAGTTACAGTTCCTACTCTCATGGAACTAATATTCTAGGAAAGGAGAGAGAGACAAACACAGCAGTAAAATATAGGGCCTGCCAGATAGTGACCGCTACTAAGGAGAAAAGGAGGAAAGAGGGACAGGAAGGAGATTTAAGTTGCATTTATAAATAAAGTGATCAGGAGAGACTTCCCTAAGATGACATTTTCATAAAGATCTGCAGGAAGAGAGGGAGTGAGCCACGTAGGTATCTGGAGAGAGCATTCCAGGCAGAGGGAAAAGCAACTGTAAAGGATGCTGAGACAAGAGCACGCCTGGTATGCCTGAGGCATAGCTGCTGGAGTGGAGCACACGAGGGCAAAAGGTAACGGACTGAATGCCCACTGGCAACCCACAGTATCTACTAACCACGAACAAATTTTAATGCGGGCTCAATATATCAAATACCGCCTATAAGGAACTCTTTGCTCCTATGTGAATTATAACCAGGGTGACGCCAACGGACTCTATGAATCCCTCAAGTTTCACGGGTGATGTAAAAATAATGGCATCTATAGACAAGTGAAAAGTATCCACTAGGAATTGGAAGAATCAGATTACGTGTAGAATCAGGCAGTAAACTCTAAAATTGCCTGATACGGAAAAAAAAAAATGATTTTCATAAAATACCACATGGTCATATAATGTTACTCACAGAACAAAAACTAAATTTTTATCTGAATTATCAATCTTAATTTGATCAGTTTTCCAAAGACAAAATCATTTTTTAGAAGACAAATATAGTAGTTTAAGTGAAATTCTCCAAATCTTTCTAAAATAATAGAATTCAACGTGCTCACTGTTTGAAGATTATTTATGGCTTAAAACTTTCCTTGGTTTCTCTTTTAATATTTATATAATTCCAATTTACCAAGACGCCACTGTGAGAAGCAAAGACGCTACAACAATCATTCTTTCGTGCTACCATTATCAGGCTAAGGTCTTCCTCCACAAACCAGCTCCTCCAAAAACCTCTGTATTTCTGTTAAACATATACCACCATTTTCCATGTCAATCTAACTCAAATTTTTCTTACTTTAAATTGCATTTACTCACCCCTTGTAGTTTTTTAGATCTATCCCTTTACATCCTCATTGTCTCCTAAATGCCTAACTGAGACCTTCGTCACCCTATTTTTGGATCAGAACAGTGTCCTTCGGGGTCTCCCTACATCCAGTCCTTTTCGCTTCACTCATGCGCATCAAGAGAAGGGTGCTGAGAGTGCTGCCCACTCCCCCAAGCGGAGGCAGTAAGTAGCTGTCTTGTCTGCAGGGAATTTAGAAATAGAAATAAAACCAACTCGGTCTGCTTTCTATTACCATCATGCCTCACCAAAAAACCCAACACCAATGACAGATGAGACACTCCTCCCTGAAAAAATAACTGGGCTCAGTTATAAACAATAGCTGTAGTTACTGTTAAGTTTTAATAACATATGTAAGCCTTAAATTAGCACATTTTATTATTTATCCTTTAACAAACACTACATTTTACATGAAAGTTAATTAGGAGAACTCCCAATTATAGTCTCCCTTGTCACGGGTAGATTAAACTACATATATTTCTTTCAAAAGTAAGTTCACAGCAATTTGAAATCACTCAAGCTTACTTCAGCAGTGTGTGCCTCCAACCCTGTGGTACACTAACTACGTTACTATATTTATTTATTTTTTTTTTTTGAGGTAGAGTCTCACTCTTTTGCCCAGTGCTGTGGCATCATCCTAGCTCACAGCAACTTCAAATTCCTGGGCTCAAGGAATCCTCCTGCCTCAGTCTCCCAGGTAGCTGAGACTACAGGCACGCACCACCGTGCCTGGCTAATTTTTTTCTATTTTTAGTTGTTTGGCCAATTTCTTTCTATTGTTAGTAGAGACGGGGGTCTCACTCTTGGTCAGGCTGGTCTCGAACTCCTGAGCTCAAATAGTCTGCCCGCCTCGGCCTCCCAGAGTGGTAGGATTACAGGCGTGAGCCACCGCGCCCAGCCTTTTTTTTTTTTTTTTTTTTTGAGGTAGAGTCTCACTCTGTTGCCCGGGCTAGAGTGCCGTGGCATCAGCCTAGCTCACAGCAACCTCAAACTCCTGGGCTCAGGCGATCCTCCTGCCTCAGCCTCCCGAGTAGCTGGGACTACAGGCACGCGCCACCATGCCCGGCTAATTTTTTCTATATATATATTTTTAGTTGTCCAAATAATTCCTTTCTATTTTTTTTAGTAGAGATGGGGTCTTGCTCTTGCTCAGGCTGGTCTTGAACTCCTGACCTCGAGCGATCCAGCTGCCTCGGCCTCCCAGAGTGCTAGGATTACAGGCATGAGCCACTGCGCCCAGCCCGTTACTATATTTAAACACATTAGAAATAAACAGTGGTACAATGATTGTGAATTCAATGAAAGAGAATGTGAATTACCTCAATTCTGTCATTATACGTGACCTTGAGCTTGTGTTTAAATTTATTTAGCTTTGAAGCATTTAAAATTCATTAGACTTGATCCCTCAAAAACAGGACATGGATTGTATGGCATTTTCTGGAATTTATTGTAAAATGGGATTGTATGGATCTCTGCTGAAATCCTTACATTGAAGATTTCCTCTATTTGTATAGCAGTTGCTTCATAAAAGAACTTTAAAAACTAAAATCTAAAGATAGTGCTCTTCCATCAAATGTGAGTGAAGATATAGATTGATAAATCTGGCTATAGTGTGTTGAGCCTCAATACTGAAAGATCAATTCTGAAGAAGTTACTGACAAGTTTTCAGAAATTAAGCTGTAATATTCATTACTGTGACAGAGCAATATGTGAAAATGTATTTTTCCTTTCTAAAAAAATGATCAATGGAATTCAAAATTAACTTTTTTTGCGTACTGTTATGTTCACTGTATTACATACATATAAGGGATATGTATGTATTTCTTAACTGACAATTAAAAATACAAAGTTCAACAGAAGAATATTTTCAACGTCTGCATTTTTTCCTGGCCATTATCACTATAACTCATTTCATGATTATTATGGAACATAATTTTGTCAAAAAGGGTGGGTGTTAAAAATAATCTTCTTCAGGTGCTAAATACTAAGTAAGCACAGGCTGCTGTGAATGAACATTAATTACCGCTGGGTAAAATACCCCTTGTCCCACATGCTTATGACATGCTGCTTAAACCTTTTGCTGCTTACAAGTTTTCATTCAGTGTCACCTTTCGATGCTCTCTCGCACTCCACTTCTAATCTTCTCGGTGCTACGAAGTCATATATTTTCTATCTATCTTTCAAAGATTGCATCCAGATTTTATCACCTCCCTTACCACTACGCCTTTATTCCGATCTTCCTTTCTTGCCTGGATTATGCAATAATTGCCTTCTAAGTGGTTTCCAGTCTCTCCTCACTTAATCCATTCTCCACATTGATACCAGAGTGAACTTTCTAAGAAGCGACCTTGATTAAGTCTACCATGGCTCCTCACACTTACAGGATGAAATTAAAACTCCTGACAATGATATTTTAAAGCTCTTATAGCCTGTCCCCTATCGACAGCTCTCTTTTCTCATCATTACACTCCCTCACTCA